AACGTTCACAGCATTAATTCAAAAGAGGACTCAATACCGGGAGTAGAGAAATAATTATTTATTATAATTTTTTTCATACAGACAAGAACAATATCTTCACTACAAAGATGCAACTTCGTTTCGGTGCATTTAGTTGCACCTCAACTGGTCAGAACCAAAATGGTTATGAACAACTCTCTTGAGAATTTTGGTTCTCACCAGTCGAGGTGAAACTAAATGCATCGAAACGAAGTTGCATCTTTGTAGTGAAGATATTGTTTTTATCTGTATGTAAAAATGTATAATCTATCTATCTATCTATCTATCTATCTATCTATCTATCTATCTATTAGTGAATATACATGATATACAACGTCGATAGCACGACTCGGAGTATTATGCATATTATGACCATTATAACGGTCAGAATAGGATCCGCACCTGAAGATTGCAAGACTGCATGAAACTCCGAGTCGTGCTATCGACGTTGGATATTATGTATATTTACTAACAGATACTTGTATCTCTGTCACATAAAATTGAGCACTATATTAATAGCACCTAAGAAATATATTTATACGTAGATGCAAGTATATGTGCGTGTACATATATTTTTTATCACACCCATATATATATATATATATATATATATATATATATTATGAAATGGATGAAATGGTCAACGACACAATTATTTTAAGACATTTTTTATGTTTATTTCTAGGACATTCAGGCGGGTAAATGTTGTTAATACTGTTTATTATAAACAGAGCATTTACATAAATATTTGTATCTATAAAAAAAAAATAAAAATAATTTATATATATATATATATATATATATATATATATATATATATATACTTTATTTTACGACATTACATCGAAAAACATGGCAAAATCGCTACACAATTATAACCGTGTTTCGATGCGTATCAACGCATTTCAAGAGGCGATTGTAATTTACTCTACTTTGTATTGAGCCCTGAATGTTAGGAACTTTGAAATTGTGCTCTATTCGTTCTCACCTTACCTCGATATATATATATATATATATATATATATATATATATAAGTTTCATTAAAAATCAGTGAAAGATACTGCGGTTAATTTTTTTATTTAAATTTACTTGTGTTCTTTTTCTTCTTTTCTGGACATAAATTATGTAGAAATTGTCTGAATGTTTTGTATGTCTAAACGCTTTCAGTTATATTTTTTGCCATTATCAAGGATGATTTTATTTTTATTTTTTAAATGAAGAGATAGTTTTATGTATCTAAAGCTATAGGAATCTTTTATTTTCCAAACACGGTCAGAAAATTGTGGCCGTGTTCATAGTTGATATTATTCAGTGTTAACTTTTTCTTTTCTATTAATAAAAAAACGGATCTCATATGAGGGTTGTGAGCACAATTTTTTTGTTCGGTTTTATACTCATTAGGAGCGTGTTTACGTAGATTTACCGCTTTAATAATAAAATAATGAAAGTGATCATTATTACTTTTCTTAACATGGATGACGCTAAACTTCAAGAGAACAACTCACTGCGTTTTTTCCCAACGCCATGAAGTTGAACGATTATATTGAAACAATTCAACTAAGTCCGCTGATCGGAAAGCTGGTTTACTAATCCGTGCTAGACAATTTTTCTCTTGCTCATTTATAAGCCTACCATTCGTCGAACATTGCTGCCACTTCTTGCCTGCTGCTGTTTCTATATATCTCGATTTTCTTGAAAAATCTAAAGAAGCATCTATAGCGTCATCGATCCTTATCTGGCATCTCGTCTTCAATCACTTTCACTTGATTTAACGTAATTTCCCTGGGCCTTTTCTATACATATTTTCGCGGCAAATGTTCTTTTGGGCATTTATCTCGAATTTAGGTGAATTACTAGATTGGCAGTTAGGTCTCATAATCTCAGTCTTAAAATTGTCAAGTGCAAGCGTAAGTTCTCTCTTAACAGTTTCTTCTCGAGGCTTACGGCCACAGCACATTGAAACACTGATCCGCGTACGTGGGTGACAGCTTGGGAATACCAAGTTCTGTACGCTTGGATGTGTGGGTGGTGTAATGGATAATGGTTTAGAATTGTTAATTGGGCAGCCGAGTTTCAATCTCCGCTGGGTTCGTTATGTTCACTTACGTACAAATACCCTGGGGGAAGTTATGAATCCACCTTTTCTCCCCAGGTATGGGTTAATCAGTAAAATTAAGTATCATTATCATCTCAAAAAAAAATTCTTACAATGTAAAAATATTTTCTGTCTTTAAATAATGTGGAAAATCGAATCAATCAATTTCACTTTCCCTTTTAGGACACTCTTCCGGTTATATATATATATATATATATATATATATATATAATGAAATCTTTACTAATACACCATAGTTTAGCCTGACATTTTTCCGTCCCTGCTGATTTAAAAAGTCTACAATGCGTAAGATGGAGAGCAATCAATCAATCAATCAATCAATCAATATATATATATATATATATATATATATATATATATATATATATATATATAATATGGCATTTGACAGAAGAGATGTTTGGAATAGTTTTCGTTAAACCTCATTCCACACCCCTTCACCCCAAAAGATATCTTCCTCCCCCTTTCTGTTTTCATTTTTACTCGTTCCTGCCATTTATCGCCTCCCGTTGTCACAACATTTTCTTTACTTTCTTTCTTGTCTGGCTTTCTTTTTTTAAAATCAATATTTATTTCCTATGTTTAGTATATATAAACCAGTATGAAGATGCAGTGTAAGCCAACTGCAAAATAAATTTAAGTTCATAACTGGAAAATTCATATGCAAGGCTTTTCTTTGAAATTTTTCTTAATTATATTGCTCTGTATGATTTTGTATTCTTCTATTACATTTTTATTCTTCTGTTACTATCTCTACTAGGAGATTTTACGAGGATATTCATTCCATAGAAACACTTCCAGATTATCCACATAACCAAAGAAAAAAATCAAATTAATTGTCCACTACAAAGAATTTAAAACAGCTAACCTTATCCTCAAAAATAATAACACACCAGTAAAATGAAAATTACAACGAAGGATCATTATCTATAAGTTCAAATTCCCCTTAAGGAACTGTGTTCCTGATCAAACCGAATTCATAAATGATTACATCGGTCACACGGCTACATGCCTATCCAAACGCCTTATGTCACACCTATTCGACCACACCTCGTTTAGAATCCATTTAAACACACACAGAAACTTACTAAACGCCATCCGAAGCATGCTAGTAGAAAATACAAGCATAATAACCTCATCCACATGTAAAAAAAGATTAAAAATGATGAAAGCCTTAATAATGAAGAACAAACAAACACTCTAAAGTATCTCTATAACACTAAAAGCATACACACAATCCAATTACATTGTAAAAATATAATCATCCTTGATAATGGCTAAAAGAGTAGCCGAAAGCGCTCGGAATTACAGAACATTTGGACAGTTTCTACACACTTTGTGTTCAGAAAAGAAAACATTTGTTTGAACAGAAGAAAAATGAAATAAAAAGCTTAATCGCAGTACCTTGTCTGTCGCCTTTAATTAAAGATGTATAAATACAAAAGTATTGCGGTTAACCGCAATAATGTAAGGGTTAAATTTCCCCGTAGTAACTAATATCTGCCTGTGGAGACTCAGCGTTCGACGTGTACGAAAGAGCATACTGACGGTTGATACAACCCTTGTGCGGGAAACTGGATGGACGAAACAGCGTGGATAGTCTTAATGACTGCGCTAGCAGGAATAACAGGTCGTCGTAACCTCGTGTTCGTGTGTACTGGCCTTGTTCAAATGCTGACCACACTAAATTATGCGCTCATTCCTAGGTTCTAAAACAAAGTCCGATTATAAACAGTTTCAATATAACCTTCACGATGGGTTTCAGGTTGTTGTGTCTGGGTGGGCGTCTGCAATAGGGATTAGCTGGCTGTCAAAGCAGTTGGTGTATTTGGAAAAAAAGAAAAGTCCACTATTATATATATTAGCTTGTCTTTTCTATGTCCGTATTTTTTCTATCTATCTATCTATCTATCTATCTATCTATCTATCTATCTCTGGCCTCTTTTATATCTAGATAAGTATGTATGTATGTATGTATATATGAATCTATCGCAGTCCTGTTCATATCATCTATCTATCTATCTATCTATCTATTATATGTATGTATGTATGGCCTCTGTATATATGTATGTATGTATTGTGTATGTATATATGTATCTATCTATCTATCTATTATCTATCTATCTATCTATATATATATATATATATATATATATATATATATATATATATATATATATAGAGAGAGAGAGAGAGATAGATAGATAGATAGATAGATAGATAGATAGATGTGCCTGAGTGTTTGCGTTGACTGTGTGTCTGTGTGCTTGCGTGTTTGTATGTGTGTAGTGTGTGCATGTGTGTGTTATTCCGTATCTATCTTGCTATGTACTATTTGGATTTGGCTGTCAAACGCTTTCCTTCCGATTATAGTAATCTTGTATGAATTGATTACCCTGTTTCAGCCGATCGCGTTGGTGTCCTGATAGATTTACGTGACTTGTGCCGACCAGGTAACCGCTAACTACCAGCTTTCCTGTGCCTCGCCCCAGCGTCTCCATTCTGGATATCTTCGTTCCATGTGAGCCGATAATTAACGACCGACATTCGCCGACGATTCGGCATTCCGTTCGACAGGTGTAAATAACCATTCAGCACGTGCGCCTTCAATCCACACGCAAGTAAAGCATGGTTCTCCGCCTCTTTTCAATCGACAGAATGCTAGTTACTCTGGCCGGGCAGATGTACGCATCGTTAGTTGCCGTGCGAATTAATCTTTTAATGATTTTACTGCTTTTCAAAAATACGTGTCTCGAAGATTGTCGCAATTTGATTCTTCTGTGCGGAACGAAATTTGAAAAGATGGCGGCGAGAGAAAGTATGGCGCTATGGCGACGGTAGGATAAGCTGAAAGAGAATGGTTTTCTAGCGGCGGCCGCGGTGGTGGTTGTAAAGAAAGAAAAGCAAAATTGAAGGTTTGTGTAATTTTGATTTATAGAGGTAGTAATGGTGGTGGGTGGTCGTGGCGATAAAAATCGGTGGGGGCGGCGGCGGGAAAGAAGAGGATTTGATAATGATGCAAAACGATTCTGAAATATGTGGTGATGGTGGTGGTGATGTGGGAAAAATTGACTGTAGTAGGGGTGGTGGAGTTTGGGAGAAAAGGAATGGTATTATGGACGTTATCAAATTAAATGCTTCTTGTTCAGATCTATACGGTTAATTTAGTCACGTGACCTGTAAGCATTAAAATAAATAAATAAATAAAGACAGCGCTCAGATCTCAAGAGAATTCTAGTAAATGAATGCAACAGATGAATTCTTTGTGAAATGACGATCAAAAGAAAATATTGGAAGATTTTTCTGTAGCTAAAGATGTGGCGTTTCGTTTACGTCATTTAATTTAATTTTTTTTTTTTTTTACCAAATTTCAAACAAATAAATAAAAATGAAAAAGGAAATTTATTTAAAACAGGTGGTCATATTTATATATTTGTAACGAATTCTTTTCTTAGAATTGATATATTTCAACTTTAATATTCCATATTTCCGAAGAAAAAAAAGAAGATAACACATTTCAAAAACCCTGTCCATGTCAGAAGCAAAAATATAAGAAAACGTGAGAGATCCGCGGCTCTCCACATCTTCCTTCCTGTTCTAGTTCTGTTATACCATTTATATAAACATGTTAAGCACTTTAATTTCCTTAAGGCTACAGACCTTATCTAGAAATTGAACAAATTCTAGAAATCCATGTGCCTTGGAGAACAATTCTTGTCGAATAATTCTTAGAGAGGTGATCATAAAAATCCCAAAATAGGAACCATTCTTAAAGCATTACTAAGCCGTACTTTCGAGAGAATTTTAAACAAACACATGTATAATAAATTCCTTTGGTTTAATGTTGGTAGAGGTTTCGGTATTTCTGTTCCCTTCATCAGATTTACATTGGTTCGATTTTTAAGTTAAAATTCAAAAGTACAACACAGACATCTATCGGTCAACAATTCAAAATTCGTAGAAAGAGAAGATTTATTGATTTGTTTTTATGGCTTATCAACCCTTTGCAGTTTATTTAAAGCCAGAAAATAATTTCAGATTGTAAGAATTTTTCCTAGATAATAACGGTTTAGCGATGCAGGTTTTACGAATTTACTAAGGTGTGGGAGAAGAGGTGAATTCATAACTTTCTCCAGGTTATTTGCGAGTAGGCTAACATAACGAACCCAAATATGGTCGTAGGTCAAAAGAACAATAATATAGAGCCCACAATGAATAGGTTTTATGGACTTTACTCGATGAGATTTCGAAAGAATTCAGTTTCCATTTTTCAAATGAATATGATTTTCCGTCTTTGTGGCGTTTGAATGAGGGAATTCGGTACAGATTATTAATCTTTCCAAACAAAGTTGCTTGGTTACTATTAGAAAATATGGTTTTCTGTTCCTTCTTCTATATGTTGTGTCTTTTCATGACGTGAGCGATCATGGCTCTCCACAACATCCTATCCTTTGACGCACTTAGTAAGGTTCGTCTCTCTTCTATCTCTCCCAATCCCTGTTCTGTCAAACATTTACACAAACTCATTAGGTAGGATATTCGCTGTTTATTTCTCTTTCTTGTCTTGGATATAGCCAGTAAGTGTTAAATTTTCTAAATTTTCCTTTCTCATTATGTGCACTAGAATTTTCATCACTTTCTGATTCTAAGTGTAAGTGTCCTTTTGGCGTACATTTTCTCAAAAACTTCCTCATTACTCACATAGGATTCGAAAGCGTCCCCGCGTCCTTGTGAGTAACGAATTATTTTCCACTCTACAATTTCTTCCTCAAAGACGTACGCTGCGGACTTCTGCAGGATCAGTCTATATCTTCGAGATGAGGTATTATGATTACTTGTATTATTTACATTATTCGGACTGTTATCCTCATCTTCATTGCCATATTCACCAAGTTTCGGTTGTTGCACGCCCGGCCTTCTTTAGCATCTGTCTATATCTCTGAAATGAGGTATTATGATTACTTGAATTATTTACATTATTTGGGCTGTTATCCTCATCTTTATTGCCATATTCACAACCTTTTCGGCCGTTGTCCCCCCCCCGGCCTTCTTTAGCATCTGTCTATATCTCTGAGATGAGGTATTATGATTACTTTCATGATTTACATTATTCGGATTGTTAGCCTCATCTCCATTGTTCATATTCACAGCATTTCGGCCGTTGTACACACCGGCCTTCTTCAGGTGATTGGAATTTCGAACTGAACGCTTTATTTCGAACACTGGGCCGTGTGTCCTCAAGAACACAGAGCCCAGTGGACGAGAGTGGTTAGATAGTGGATAAAAACGTTGGTTAAATCCAGTAATTAGACCCAAAGAGTTGTGAGTTCAGTACCAGGCCATAACAGTGGTGAACCAAACCTTGGAGAATTGAGTTAAAACGAAATAACTGAGACACCCGGTGAGACATGACACGTGGAAATAGAACAGTCTTCCCGGTGGGCGGAATAAAGGCTTTAATTCGAAATTTCAATCACCTGAAGACGGCCGGAGCGTACAACGGCTGAAACTTTGTGAATATGGAAATGATGATGAGGATAAATAATGCAAGTATTCACTTACCTGCTAATACCCTTGGGAAAGGTATGAATCCTCTTCTTCTCCCCCAGCTATGGGTAAATAGTGGGACAGATTGGGTTCCCTACACTTGGATAGCAACTGGACTCTCGCCACTCTATAGCTATTTCCATTTCAAGAGTTCAGATGAAGTGCAGGGTTTTCCAAAAGTTGCATTACCATTGATGGCCTTGTAAATTTTATATTTATTTAACAAATAGAATCATGTTTCTATATGTGACAATATATTATAAATATATTTTATTGGTCGAATTATGGAAGATGATGCAGATTTTTCCTGGTTGCTATTTCACAAGCTTACCTTTTCTTACAATTGTTGCGTGATTTTTGGAATACTTTGTACATTCCTTAGTTACACCAGTTCTAAGACCTGTCATACCATGCACATTTTAGCGACCAACCTTTGTATTCAATTGGTGAGACCTAAGTTCCATTCGAGCAGCTTAAACTGTGTCTTTTACTCTGTAACCCTTTACCTTGGGACTTGTACTGGCGGAGCATCACTGTAAAAAATGTTCATTCCATGAAATTCTCAGTATTCTTTTACAGAAACACTTTTCTGAGGAGATTGTCCAAATTTTGGCCAGTTCCTCTGTTTACTGTTACTCTTCATTTCCGTGATATACAACAAGGATGTCCTAATTTCTAAATATAATTTATCTGATGGCCTTTGATGCCCGGTTAAAAATATGTCACGTGACACAAAATTTTAATGACACGCTATAAGAAATGATTGTCCGATCATTAGAAGCAAATACAACAAATTCCAATATTTACTTATCTTTTAGTATCAAGTTAATTATCTTTTAGTATCAAGTAACTCGAGATTTTTTTTCATCATTTTATAAGCAAACGCCACGTATCCCATCGGTTTTGAGCTAACGCCATATATTCCAAAACATATTTAACCGTTATAGCGAGTAGGCGCTATTTAGCATGAAATTTATTTACCCATCATGATCAAATAGTCTAAGATTTGCCTGTCAGTTCAAATTAAATGTCAAGTAGTCCAACACATAATCGAAGTTTTAATTATGCCCCATTTGCAATCGGATTTCAAATAATTTAAGATTTTTGCTCATCAGTTCAATGTAATGTTCACATAGCTTAAAAAGTGATCCAAGTTTTACTTACGTCTCAGTTGCAAGCAGAGTTCAAATAGTCAAGATTTTGCTCATCAGTTCAATGTAATGTTCACATAGCTTAAAAAGTGATCAAAGTTTTACTTTACGTCTCAGTTGCAAGCAGATTTCAAATAGTCTAAGATTTTGCTCTCATCAGTTCAATGTAATGTTCATAGCTTAAAAAGTGATCCAAGTTTTACTTACGTCTCAGTTCAAGCAGATTTCAAATAGTCTAAGATTTTTGCTCATCAGTTCAATGTAATGTTCATAGCTTAAAAAGATCAAAACGTCTCAGTTGCAAGCAGATTTCAAATAGTCTAAGATTTTTTCATCAGTTCAATGTAATGTTCACATCTCAAAGTTGCACTTTAGAGATTTCAAATAGTCTAAGATTTTTGCTCATCAGTTCAATGTAATGTTCACATAGCTTAAAAAGTGATCAAAGTTTTACTTACGTCTCAGTTGCAAGCAGATTTCAAATAGTCTAAGATTTTTGCTCATCAGTTCAAAGTAATGTTCACATGGCTCAAAGAGTGATCAAAGTTTTACTTACGTCTCAGTTGCAAGCAGATTTCAAATAGTCTAAGATTTTTGCTCATCAGTTCAATGTAATGTTCACATAGCTTAAAAAGTGATCAAAGTTTTACTTACGTCTCAGTTGCAAGCAGATTTCAAATAGTCTAAGATTTTTGCTCATCAGTTCAATGTAATGTTCACATAGCTTAAAAAGTGATCAAAGTTTTACTTACGTCTCAGTTGCAAGCAGATTTCAAATAGTCTAAGATTTTTGCTCATCAGTTCAAAGTAATGTTCACATGGCTCAAAGAGTGATCCAAGTTTTACTTACGTCTCAGTTGCAAGTAGACTTCTTGTAGTCCAAGATTATATTGCACATCAGTTCAGGTATCGCGTTGCATAGTCCGTGATTCAAGTTTTTTTACCTCTCATTAGCAAGCAGACTTCAGTTAGTCCAAGATGTCTTGCCTATCGCTTCAAAGTAAAAGTCACATGTTCCAAAAAGTGATCTAAGATTTACTTACGTCTCAGTTGCAAGCAGACTTTTAGTAGCCTAAAATATTTTCCTTTTCAGTTCAAAGGTCACGTTGCTCAACACATGATCCAAGTTTTATTTTACTCATCCGTTGCACGCAGACGTTACATTGCCTAAGAACCTTTTTGGTGGTCGTTTTCAAGCAAATCGTAGCAGAAGGTTTCACCGCTCACAGCGCAAAAAATAATGAAAGACTTATAAAATCGTTAAGACGTATTTATTTTTTCTAAACGTGATGTATTTTCTTTGAGCTTTTACGAATGACACAAATCGGTTGGAAGAGTTTTCATGATGTAAAGGTCAATCCCTGGGAAATGACAAGTGAAAGAACTTGCTCTCTTCCGGTAATGAAGTAAGCATAGGATCATCTTCTTTTGTGCTTTCAGATCAGTGACTGAA